GTTTTTCTCCGGTACCAGGAACCGAACTCACGACCTTGCGCTTGCCAGGCAGGCGCTTTTGCCGCTGAGCTAAATCCCCAGCCCCTAAAACTTTTTTAAAATTTTGTAAAACACTACATATCTAGGAAACATGTATCTAACAACATAAAAACCGTCTAAGTTTAGTTTCTATTTTCTTCCATAGTCTCGATTATTTTCTTTTTTTAATGAGAGCCGGTTATTTATTTTTATTTATTTTTCTTAATTTTTAGTACCAGGAATAGAGCTCAGGACCTTGTACTTGTTGGGCAGGCACTTGTGCCACTGAGCTATATCTCCAGCCTAGTCTTCAATATTTTCAAGCTAAGGGAAAATAAAAGTCTGTCCCTCAAAAATGTCCTGATATCCTTATGATGCCCATGAAAAACAAAACTGCAAAAGTATTGTTTATTTTGTCTGTTTATTGTTGTAAATAAGAGCAGTTTTCTTTTTAATGGACTAATTGGCTGTAAATGGACGGGCAGACGGATGGATGGATGGATGGATGGATGAGCACATTTCATGGTGTCTCTTTTATCCAGGATCAATTCCTTCATTTCTCTGCTTAATTTTAATGATTCCAGGACAGAGAATTATTCTCTTTCCTATAGCTATCTCGAGCTCCTAAGGGATATATCATAATCTCAGGGTAGAGTTCATGTTCCCTCCACATTCCCTCCCCTGAAAGTCTGCCACCATTTTCCTCTAACTTTTTTCCCCTATGTCTGACTAGTTCCATAAAATCAGTACCTCTTTGCTGATCCACTTCTCCCATTCTGCTGGATATTTCCCCCACGCTCTACAGCTGTGTTATTGTGTATACTCAAAGGTATTCATGGTCTCTGTCTGCACCTATGAGTGCAGGCCCTTCCAAACTGTATACCTAGTACACATTCAGACAGAGAGAGACAGAGGACCAACTGCATACCTGATACACATGCAGAGAGAGAACATCCTCATTAACTCTTATCTCAATATGCTCTAATTCTTATATTAATAATGTAATTTATTTAAACAAAAAAAATAGAGACACCATAGAGTTTAGAAGTCTTACTGCTCTTCAGATGTTATGTTACATGATACCCCACTGTGTTCTCAATACAAAATGTATATATGAATTATTCTTTTTTTTTTTTTTTTTTTTTTTTTTTTTTTTTTCACAACGGGAACCGAACTCACAACCTTGCGCTTGCCAGGCAGGCGCTTTTGCCGCTGAGCTAAATCCCAGCCCCTATATATGAATTATTCTTGAGAAAAATAGGAATCTTTCAAAAGGCTGTCCCAGTGATTCAACACAGTATTTGCACATAATCAAATAGTGAATTTCATACATACTTATAATCAAACATAATATTTCTAATTCTTCCATGTGTCTTCAGGAAAATTTAATATTAAAACAAAGATAATTATACTGAAAGTCTCAAAGGAACTAATTATGACAAATTTAATTATTTATAAAAGCATTTAAGTACAATTATATTCTCTAAGGCTTTCTATACCATTAAAACCACTAATGCATACTAATTACATAGTATCAAAGCATTTTCCAGTCAACACAGGAAATTATAATAAGCAATGTGAAGGGGTAGAAAAAAGGACAATTTACATATTGAGTGTCTTTGGGTTACACTAGCCATGTTTTTAAATAGCTGCCTTATGTATTTATTGACTAGAGAAAGTGTTGATGGTTTTATGCAAAAACCATCATCACTGCTGACTGCAGAGACAGAGTACATTTTGTGAAGTGGAGCACATTTCTAGTCACTTTCTTGTTGAACGTGACTCTGACTGCCTGCTTGGGGTCTCCTTGCCATCTTCACTACAGTCAACCGTGGTCTTACTCTATGCTTTCTGTTATTATAAATCACTTACAAAAAGGATCTCTGAGTCCCTTCTTTTCTAGAAGTCATTTAGCTTTGGTAAAATAATCATTCAAACTGTATTAATTAAAAATATGTTATTCAACTTCCTTTCAAATCAAAGTATGAGTTACTGTTATCACATTACATAAATACTTGAATTTATTTTATTATTTTATCTGCTTTCTGTAAGTGTAAATGCTCTCTTTTTCTCAGCTAGTCAGCTAAAATATATGAGACATGATTTAAGGAAGGATTCCTTAAGGAAGGATTCAATGCAACACATTTTCTCTCAAAGGCACTTCTAGGAGTGAAAAGTTTTGTTTAGGTTTGGTTTTGGTTTTGGTTCAGTTTTCAATTGTGCCAATGAGAGCTTTGACCCCTTCCAATGGCGGCAAATCTAAATTGACAAAAAAGATATTCCCTTGATGACCTTAATGCACAGCCTATAACCAAACTATGCGATCTAAGATGCATCTTTCAGTGTATAACTGTAGGGCTCTGTCAAATGACTGTTCACAAAAGGGTATTCTTGTTACCTTGCTTATGACAGGTACTCTCTTACATAAAAATCAAGAGACTCGCTTACCACTAGATGCTGGTGATCACTTCTGTAAAGTTCTTTCTTAGACTGAATAGAAATAGTTCACTTTTTAACTTCTATCCAATAGAATTGGACTTTATAAAATGAGGGAAGCATAGGTTTAGAGACAGACTAGAATAAAATCCCAATTTTCAGCATATAAAGAAGGAAAGCAAATCTCTTGAAAGTAGACATCTCCAGGGATAGACTCAAGACAAGGCAAACCCACACTACGAATCCTTCCCTTCTCCCCAGACTATCTTTGTCCACCGTGTCTGAATTTTCACTTTATTCTTGTTTGAAATTGAACTGATACAAATTTTAAATTAATATAGTTTAATATACAATTAATATTTTATATACAGTTAACTGAGAATTCATGAGGGGTTACACATTTGTCATATGTTAGTATAAACTATATCCTTGCTCCCCACCTAAGCCATGTATGTCTCTAATTACAGCATACACCTCACTGTATTTTAGTCATGCCCTGGCAGTGAAGGAGAAGCATGTTAAAATCACAGAGCTGTACAGAGGTCAGCAGAAAACTTCACCTACTTCCACGATTTGTTGAGGGATTACTGTTCTCTCACAAACATTAAAAACCTTTTGCACCTGATCTCTCCTTCCTATAGTAATGGACGACCTCTGTTGTCTCCAGAATCCAGAGATGAGACTTCTCTCAAAAAAGCTTTAATTCTTCTGCATAAATTGATATGTTCATGTGGGGTGGGTTGAAACCTAACCATCTGAAATATGGATCCTACAGAAAAGTCCCTAATGCCAAACACTTAGTATTTTTTTTAAATAAACTTTTGTAACACAATTAATTTATAAGGTGATGGTTAATTCTTCTTTAAAATTATTAAGTTCCATGATAAAGTCATGTTTATTTGATTGGTCTATCTTTGTATGTACCTTTCATTTATATTGTTCAAGTTTTTTTCCAAAACCTACTGAAAGCTCAAGGCTGTGTTATACTTGTGTAAATAATTTTCATTCATCCCAAAATGCAGATTTTTATTTTGTCTGCCTAACAACAGTCCTTCCTGTAGAATCTGAACTTCATTCTTGCAAGTCAAAAATTGATTGTGGAAACTCAACACATTAACATTCCTTCTCAGTTTCCTGTTTATCCATTCATTTATTCAATATAACTTCTAGAGAGTTGCTAATGAGGTCACTGCACAGGAGAAGGTGAGGCAGGAAACATGGATTTGATACTCTTAACCAATCTCTTTCCACGTATAAAATGATCACTCTTATGGTATATATCCAAGTGCTACCTCAAAGCCTCTTGTGCTCATAGGTGGAGCTACTGAGGGGTGACTGAATCATGGGGGAGCAACAGCTAAATGCAATGTTAGGAGTTGGGGCCTGGTCAGAAGGGGTGGGTGGCTGGATTGTGGTCCAGCGGGGTTTTATCTCCCTTCCTGTCTCCTTCCTTCACTGTGTGTCCTTGGCTGCATGGTGCAAGCAGCTTTTCTCTGCCAGGTCCTTCCACTCTACCTTCCTGCCTTGGACAT